CGGTGAGTCACTTGCCACGTCTCGACGGGTCTGACCTCCACAGAGAAGGAGAGATCGGGGTTGGCGTTGTCCACGGTGCGCTTGAAGAGGTCCTCACAGAGCTGGAACATGACGAGGACAAAGGCACCGACTGTGTTAGAGGATGGGCTCACTGACAGCTAATATACACAGGCTGGACTTGTCCCAGAGGAACACCGGTGTCCCCCCACCCCTCACGAGGAGCCTAATGTCAGTTATGTCCCCAACCTGTGGTATGATTCCCTGCTGGTCGGGCTCCTGCTTGCCCATCATGGTGTAGGATTTGCCGGCGCCCGTCTGGCCATAGGCAAAGATGCAGACGTTGTAGCCCTCGAAGGCGTGCAGCAGCATCTCCTCGCCGATGTCCAGGTAAACCTGCCGCTGGGAGGCGAAGCCCGGCTCCTCGGCCTGTGGTGGGGGAGCAGCCCCCAAGTCTCAGAGCTGGAGGAGCCCCAGGGTGCCTCCGCGAGCACGGCCATCTGCTCCCCTATACACTCATCTGCCCAACTACCCATCCATCCATCCACTCATCTGCCCATCCAACCATTCATCCACCCACCCACTCATCAAACCACACATCTCTCCATTCATACACCCACCCATTCTGCCCATCCATCCACTCACCTGCCCATGCATCTCTCCATTCATACTCCTACCCCTTCATCCACTAATCCATCTACTCCCTCAGCCACCCGTCACAACCTAAGTGGGACTTCCTTTATCGCGGTGGTGTATACATCCAGGTAAACAAACAATGGCTAATCTCCAAGTCTCTCAGAGACCCCCTCTTCACCTCGTGTGACACGGTCTCTTAGCAACACCAGTCTGGTGACAAACCCACCACCCCGCCGGCCCTTCAGCCCCCGCACAGCTCACCGAGGTGTGAGACCAGTAAGAGTAGTCAAAGGTGAAGGTCTTGGGCGTGTCCTTGGGCTGCTTGGGGTTGGAGATGCCTGTAGCCAGAAAGGGGACAGCAAGTCTGTGATCAGAAGTATTACACGTCGGATGGATCATGCAAATGAGCACAGAAGCACCTGGGCACAATGTTCTCTCACACATCAAAACGCCAGCAGATCATGTGTCTTGGACGCTGCAGCTCTTGAGCTCAGTCTATGAATTAAACAACGGGCCGCATTCCTGAAGGAATATCGTATGGAATGATGGAAAGCACATTACATTTATCTGACACTTTTATCCAAAGCGACTTACAGTAGGGGGCAAGGGTTACGATTTTGAGCGTGCCTCCTAGGATCTGAACCCATGACCCTCTTTTGTTAGCACAATGCTCTCCTTGTTGAGTTACAAGAGCTACAGTCAATGGTTCTCAACATATTTAAAACACAAATGCCCTTTTAATATTGGAACCCAAAACCGCCAACATTCTGGATGCACATTTTTGTCAATGTTGCAGTTTTCTTTTACGTACAGATGTGGGTTTTTCAGGACCAGGAGCATTTACCAAAAAAGGACAGAAAGTACAGGGTCTTTGTGTCCCCCTCTGGGGAGCTGGGTGATGGCATGTCCCATGAAGACAACCGTGATTCGCCTCATTTGACAGGCAGACTGAGAGACGGAAACCAACCAATGGCAGCAAAAGAACTGATAACAGGGAACCCGCCTTGTAGACAGTGTATTTAGGGTGGCAAAGCATATAATTAATGGATGGAAAGCTTTGTGCTCAGATGGCTTATTTATACTGGTGAAAAAAAATGAAGAGGTACATCCCGGAGAACCTGCGGATTCAAGGCTTATTTGGACAGCGAGAAAACACAGATCTGCAAGAAACATGGGGCTTAAACTGCTGGACCAGATCCCGGGTGGGGGGGGGGGGCGCTGTGAGTAAGGTACTTAACCTGAGGCATCCTGGTGAAACACAGCTGCACAAAAATAGGCATTGAAAAGATAAATAAAATGAATAAATAATAAAAATGATACATATTCTTCCTCCTGTAGCTAAACAACTAGAGCACTGCGCTAGGAACACAAAAAGATCAAAAGGTTCGAATCCCGGGGAGTACACACAAATTATAACCCTCTCTCGTATGTCACTTCGCATAAAAAACGTCAGATAAATAATTTAAATTGCTAGGAGGTGCTGAATGTTAACTGGTCCACATCTCAACGGGCAGGGAGCCGAGGCTGTGTGTCCCACAGCCAGCGGAGATGCACCAGTAGCTAGGTGCAGTTATGGATACCAGGGAGGAACTGTTGCGCGCGAGAGGCCTTGTTTTACATCACGTGAAGCCGTCTGGTTATAGTCCGACCCTTTCATCCACAAATAAATAGCATATAAACAGAAGCAGCCTTCCCCGGGTAGGAGCAGACTTTCTGGGTCACAAGCTCCTGGACATGGCGGTCCAGAAGAACCTCAACAGTGAGTGCGTGTCCATTCAGGTCCAAGAGAAGAATTCTAAATAAGGATTTGGCTGGAGTCTATAGGAGAGGCCCTGGAAAGAGTTTCCAGCCAATAGAATGACTGGGTGTGGTGCAGCGAGGCATGCTGGGAGATTAAGCTGGAAGATCAAGGAAGAAGGTAGGTGGGGTGGGGGTTTACAGACGTACGCAGGACTTGAGGCCACTGGAGGGGGGTGGCACTCGCAGTGGCATGCTTCCCAGAATACACGTTTGCTATGTTGAAGCCTGTTTTCATGGAGACGGGACAGCAGAGAGTTCTGGGTTATTTTTAGGTGAGGGGGCACAACTGGCCCCTCTCCCTTCCTCCTTCCTCTCACTCTGGGGCAGTGAAACAACACTGTCTAGCACACAAACCCACCCCGACACACACACCCAGAAGTATGCGGGAAATGGATCGCCGACTTGGAGCAGCCAGAGGGGGCACAGTTTGGCCCACGCTGGTTCCTCACACATGCTCGCCACACGGAGGGAAGGATATGGGCCAGGGCGTCACAGAGGCCGCTCACTCGCCCGCCTCCCTGCATTCCTCTCCGCGCCGCGCCCAGCCAGCCTCCCCTCCCCCTACACACTCCCCTCTCGGCCTACATCCCCGGCATGCCTGCGCTCGCAGGAGAACTCGGCCTTCTGCGAAGCAAACGTCCCGTACCGCGAACGACACATCACGAAGGAATTTAGAGGTTCGCTTCACGGACCCGTCCACCGGGCAGCCGGGCTGCAGTTGTTACAGATCGTCTCCATGGGGGCATGTTTTCGCCCCTGCCATTTTTTTTGTCAACATTTCCCATACTTGCTAAAATGAACTTTAGATGTGACATGGCATCTGAATCACTCATCTCTCCATCCTGGCCTTTCCCCAGATCACCCCGAGTCACCGCGCGACATCCGAGAGCTCCGAGGGCACCGTGAGTGTAACAGACACGTGTACCACCAGCCCCGCACAATCTGCATCATCGTTTTACACAAACACTATCCCTGCTCTGTACGACAAAGGCAACCTCCACTTCACCGTAAACAAGACTGCAGCTATTGTTCTTACTGCCCTGCTTGAGACTCCCAAGGAAAGACTACCCAACCCATAACGCAGGGACCTGGCAATGCCAGACAGGAGCGACAGCCCCAGATACACCGGCCTCACCTGCAAACACGATTCTCCGCATCAGTCAAATCATTACCAGGCTTTGACAGGATGTGATGCTCGTTTTTGTAACGCGTCGACTCCGAGTTAATGGGTCGAGTTAAACGCAAGTGGCTTTGTCCTTCGAGGTGTTTCATCATGTGGACAGTGTTGGCCACTGGAATAACCCAAGGTCACACGTTTGAGCTGCTTTTCTCGCAGAGGACACTGGCGTCTGTCTGGTCATATTTTTGTTTTAAAAAGGGGTTTTTAAGACACTTTGCCTCGAGACTTTATTTGGAGCCTCTTGACGACCCGAGTATCAACAAGCGACTTCCACGCACCGAGAAGAGTCAGATGTAAACAGAAGTTTTTGGTATAAATCACAAAAAAAAAAAAAAACTAGGGACACCAATATCTTCTCAAACATGTGATTTGGGAAGATTTTTCATTTCTTTTTTTTTTTTTTTTTAAAACAATGCAAGACTTCAAAATACAGACCTTGGGGGTGGGATTCTCCTTTTAACTTTTACGTCGTATTGTCTGGAACGTGAGAAAATGGCATGTCTGGGACCATGGGGAGGGCTACGGCCCGGGCCTTTTCTTTCTGAAGAAATGCCTGGATCGAGTAACAGGGCTTCCCTCTGCCCCCTGGACGTAGCAGATCAGTCACAAAGGGAGAAACTGAGAGCGGGGGGGGGGGGGGGTGTTTCAGAAGCAGAAGCCTGAGAACCTTGGTTTAAAAACAAACAGCCAACTGGATAAAGGCGTGTGTGGGAGCAGTGCCTACACCCTGCCTACACCCTGCCTACACCCTGCCTACACCCTGCCCACGCCTGTAAGAGGCAGGTCACCCCCATACATACTCTGTCCAGGTCCTACAACTTGCACCACCTTGAGCCACTAGGGCACCGGCTTCATGCCAAGTGGTCAGCTGGTATCCTTGAGCTTGCAGGCACGCTTGAGCATGTGGGGTGGGGGGGGGGGCAGTCAGGAGGCCTGCAGCTGCCAGGGTCAGCCACAGTCTGTTCTCTGGGCCATAAGTCTGGGATGCCTAGGACTGCTACCCCCACTTTGCACACCCCCTACGTGACCCCTGGCTGAACTGTACCAAGCCAAGTGGGTGGGTGGGTGGTGTGTCACTGGCGCTCTTTAGGGAAAAACCAAGCCAAAAAAAAAGTACAACTTCGGCATTATTCGGACGGCAAGGCATGAGCGGGCCGGGCGAGGCAGCCACCACCGCGTCGCGCCTTCAGCCGCTCGGAAAGAGCGCGGACAGCTGCCGCTTGAGGATCGAAATGCTTCTCCCGCAGCAAGGTTTTTGGGATGCGCTCGGACGTTGATGCAAGCCTCGGACAGGAGCCAGCCTTTCGACATGGTGATGATTCAGCCAGTAAGGACAACTCCCACGTTGCACTGCGAGGTGCCACCTCTGACTGGGCCCTCACCCTCCCACCAACAGGTCAGAGTAAGGGTGCGTGCAGGACGTCAACACTAAGAGGGCCCCACCCTCCTAAAAACAGGTCAGAGTAGGGGTGTGTGCAGGAACCAGAAGACGGTAGGTCCTGTGGTAATAACACAACCTCCTCGGTTGTATAAATGGTAAAAAAATAAATAAAAATCATACAAGAGCCTTTGACAACTTTCTCCATGGAGGAAATAAAATTTGTCGAGGCATGGCATAAGATGAAAGACTAATATGGGCTGTCGCCAAACTACCAATCACAGGACTCATAAGAAATCCACTTATAATTAACAACATCCAACATCCAACCACTTCTAAATTGCCAGTGAGAGCCCTTGTTATTTGCAGAAGCACTTTACCAGTTCCAGACGGCCAATGAGGGAGCTGGATTGCTTACAGAAGCTTTCTTGTCCCAGTTACAAATAGTTCAGATATGGAAGACTCAGGTTCAGAAAGTAGAAATCCAGGCCAAGGTTTTCTTTCAACCAACCAGTTCAGTGTAGAGTCACAGAGTACTCAACTGGTTGGTTGAAACAAAACCTTGGTCTGGATTTGTATTTTCTGGACCTGAACTTTCCACCTCTGGCGAGGTTATAGAGGCCTGCTTTACTTACAGGTTGAATTGTCCTGCATCTGGATGACACACTTGGCGCTGCGACTGGTCTCGCGGGAGTTGAAGGGCCGCACCCTCACCGCCACTTTCACAGAAGAGGCCGCCATCTTCCTCATTAAGGGGTGAGGTTACCAGGAGCGCCGGCTGATGGGGGAGGGAGTCAGGCCTGAGTGAGGAAAGGAAAACAGTAGACTTACCATCTCCAGTATAAGAGTGGACATCCCTACATGGATTTCAGAAACTCTGGGACAGTGTGAGTCACCAGCAGACGCTCAATCGAGCTTCCCTCCGGGATATAACCCTTTTAAAGAAGTTTCCTACATTTGTTCATTCAACAGGATACAGCTTTAACCGAAATGGGCTAATAGCAGGTGTTATACTTCGACAGCTGGTGTCTGACGAGAGCCTTATCTCTGCCTAAACTTTATGGTCACAATATGTGAAATGCTACTGTAAACGCCTGATCAGCAGAATCGAAACTCTCCATCTGCTACAAGCCGGCCTTCCTAGCTTTTAGTTCCATCACTGCAACAAAAGCAGGGGAACTGCACTCTTAATGGCCACAGTAACTGCCAGAACACTTTCTGAAAAACCAGTGAGTGACGATTAGATCCATCAACTCGGTGCAGGGGATCTGACTTTCAGTGGAAAGAGACTTTGGCGTTTTGTTGCTCCACCTCCTACAGAATAAAGGGCACCTTGGAAACTGGAAGGCGACCCAAGTGACCTTTGACCTCCACTACACCAGCCCCATGAGTGATTGATTCACATTTCCCTCTGGCGGAATACCCACAATGCAAAGTGTCGCCACGCTCCCCCCCCCCCGCCTCAGCTTGTTCATCTCTGGCTACAGCACAGTTTTGCCTTGCAAGATGACAACAGGAGGATTGTGTGTCTACAGGGCTACAATTCAGGGAGGGGGATTAAATGAGGGACATTAAAGCAAATTCCCCATTGCCATGGTAACACGGGAGGTACTCTGGGAGTTTGCTGTTCATGGCTGGCACCTTGCACCAATGCAGTTTGCCGTTGAAGCCAAACAGCTCTGCGGGTCACGCTCCCCCAGGTAAAGCCAAACCGAGGAAGAATGCCAATCAACCCCAGCTTTAATGCAAACATGCAGGGGTAAAGCGACCACTGACACAAATAACTCACCAGTTGCTTGGAAGGTGCTAATTATTCTATTAGACAGCAGGACTCAAACCCAACAGACCCTTTGAACCAGCATCAGGGCATTTGTTGAAAAGTCCTACGGAACCAGCAACAAAAGATGGAGAACTGAGACTTTCGTTAAGAAAGTGACCGTGGTACCCAGAGGTCTCTGCTGACAGGACGTGTTTGAGATGTAGCAATGTTAGCATTGCAGCATGAACTCCGCCAAACCCCATACACAGACACCGAACCGGTCTAATCAGTTTGGGGAAATGGAAGAGCTCCAGTTTCAGGATGCTGGAAGAACCCTGTCTCCGGCTGTGCCTTGGGGGCCCGATTCCATGGAGAGGTGAAGCTAACTTTCGCCAGGAACAAAGGAAGTTGCTGTTGACTTGTAGTATTCTGTTTGGGCTCTACCGTAATAACTAGGGACCACTGCCCATCCCCGACACAGAGGAACAGAGGCTGCACAAACGAGAATGGGGCAAAATGATAATGGTCTGGAGAAACACATCTGTCCCATATGTAGCAAGTACTTTCCACACCAAGCTGCTAATGGTAAGAGATTCCACAGAAGTCATCAGGGAAATGGTGCTTAAAAGTACAGTCCAGATTACAGACACTGGCAATTTTAAGGGGACACCTGCAAATCCTGACGTCCCCATACCACAAGTGACAGAAAAGAACGGCAACATATTTTATGTTTTGAGTTAGCACAATGGTGCCATTTCTCTGGTAGTTAGTTGACTTACCAGGACAATTAATTTATTCAATTATATCACTAAAAAAAGAACCCACATTTTTTGACAAGAATAAAGAGAGAGAAATACATTTCCCAGAAAGTTGTGTGCATCATAAACAATGCAATAGCACACAGGGATAAGGTTCGTTTGGAAACCAAGCAGAATAAAGGGCAAGGTTTGCGATCCTGTACTGCCATCCAAAAGCAAGCGGCCCCTTTAAACCCGAGAGCGCAGGTGCACCTGCAGAAGACAGGTGCCTCTAACACGCGAGGCGTACAGGTGGAGAAACTGGCAGGTAGCCGGTGCAGCGGAGACAGAGCACCACAGGATACATGGATAATCCCTGATGAACGAGAGCCAGACTGTGCATGTATGCACATGATTGGTCCCTGCTGATCAGAAGCCAAGGGGGGGGGGGGGGGGGTAGAGTCAGAGGAGTGCTCACACATGCCCCCATAGACACGATTCATCAGTCACCTCTAATGAGACAAGTCCAACGCGGTCATTTCGCACACATCAAAAAGCAGAACGTTTAACCACTGATGTGCACAGACACTAAACTGGCACAGCACGATGAACACCAAACGACCAACAGATTCCTCATACGCTAAACTCAAAAGATCTGTCATTGCATTCCATTCCAGCACTGAGAACTGCAAGCAGTACAACCCGTCCAAACTGACCTTGTGCACAAAACGACTGATAAAAGTATACAATGTTTCCAGACAGAACAGGGGGGGGGGAAACCATGGGGCTCAGTGGGCTAATCTTCTGTGCCTGTGATTAGAAGGTTGCCGGTTTGGTTGCCCATCTGCGGCTCCTGAGAAAGGCCCTTAACCGCCAGCTCCCTGGGCGCTGCTATGGGTGGCTGCCCTTCGCAGCCACCCATAGGAGGTGTAAAGAGAATTTCCCCATGGGGATCAATAAAGTATCAAATCACTGGGGAAACGCTACAAAGCACAAAGTCGCCCTCGCAGTTCAAGCAAAAGCCTGTGAAACCAAACGTAGATGGGCAACCATAGCATTTATCTAGGCAACATGAAAACACAGAGAAGTCACTTGCATAAATGATAAATCCTTTGCCATATGCACAGCCAGTGTATGGGTTAAGGGCCTTACTCAAGGCCATATAGACATGTGCCTGTTTTACCGAAGCCAGGGCTCGAACTGGCGATCTTCCAATTAAGGGCACAGGGACTGAGCCACTCACCGCATCTGGTCTTAGAAACAAAGGAAGCTGTTTGCTAAACCATTTTTTTGAAGTGCTGCGTACCTCAGCTCAAGTTAAAGCAATACGGTAAGCGTCTAACGTAGCCGTTCAAGTGCATAGCACACACCCCAGTAATCATCCTCATGCAAAAAATAGAAAAATAAATAAATAAACATAAATCAGGCACAACCGGTTGTAAACCTGGAAAGCTGTTGGCTGTTTCACCCCAAGCCATCGTGAACTGCATTCCACCCAAAAATGCAGCTAACGCAACACAAGTGTGCCAACCTGCCCCTTTTCGTTCGTACAGAGGTGTCAAAAATTGCTCCCCATTTTTCCCCGAGCAATGCCAGCGTCCTGTTGTCGCAGGCCGCAGCACCTGAGCTTCGGCGCGATGTTCCTGCAGAGCTGTGATTCCTCAACAGTGACGTAAAGACTCCTGGACGGCAGCCGTGACTCCTGCTTCCCCACCTCGGAGCCCCTCTTCCCCGAAATGCCGCTTTTCCTCAGCCCATTCTGCGAATTACAAGAGGCACGTCCTGTTTGAAGCCGGAGACGGCGCTGAACAAAGGAACACAGACCGGTCTGGTTCCCCTTCTGTGCCCCCCTAGCCCTCATTTGTATTGGGTCAGTCAGCACCGATTGCTGAGGCACCAGATGAACTTTTAAAACAAAAAGGGGCCCAACAAACGCTAACAAATAATAACGGCTCACAGTCACGTAAAAAGTCACTACCAAAGAGAGGAAGATGATCTGAATAACAGCCATGATGACAGGGGGCCCAAAACAACAGGAAGACACTTGATGGATATCTAGTGACCCTGGTTGCTCATGAGGGCGCATGGAACCATAACCTGACAAGCTGGGTGCAGAGACATTCTGCGAACGAGCTGGACCCTCGGGAAGGTTACCCAAAACTACCCATCTAGGCCTACACCTTGACAACGCAGCCAGATTAAACACCAGCTCCTCTTTCCACCATGTGACTGGTCGATTACTACATTTTCAATAAACTCCCCAAGGCATGGCAGGCTGGCTTACAATGGACTTCAGACTGCGCCCCCCCCCCTGCAGCCCACTAAAGTAAGGTGTCAGGCTGTGCAAGGCGATGGACCCGCCGGAGAACAGTGACATCTGACACCAAAGGAACACGCAATGAGACTCCCATAAAGGCAGATGAATGTATGGCAGATACCTGTATTGTGTGCAGGGGTGTTGTAAAGAGGGGAAAGATAAGATGATTCCAGGGGGCTCTGAGTGACAGGGGCTCTAAAAAAAACTGGAAAATAACCGGATTGGTCTGGGTTGGGGGTCCAACATAATACACTTTCCCAAAAATCTCTAGTGACACTCCTGTGTGTGTGTGTGTGTGTGTGTGTGTGTGTGTGTGTGTGTGTGTGTGTGNGTGTGTGTGTGTGTGTGTGTGTGTGTGTAACTAGCCATGCATATATCTGCTACTGGAGACTAGGCCAGTTACAACCAAATTACACCTTCACATGGGTTCAACAGGCCCCAAGCAAAAGTAATTTGCCAAGCGTTGTGAGATTCCTGTAGCCAGTGTGCCAAATTCCCCGGCATAAACTGGGCATAACCATCAGCAACCAAAACAGAGGAATGAGCCGTTTCACGCTTTACCGTCCATTTTTCTTGAAGTAGTGTGTAGTAAAGTGGGTGTAGTGCATTCGGAATGAGTGCACAAGGTCACACCGTGTCATGCCCGTCTCACGCCAGGCAGACGGAGGGGCTCTGGAGTTGATCTGTGGGGCATGGCCGAAGCTGACTTTGATGAGACAGGACGGCTGGCAGGCCGTCACCCAGAGAGAGAGAGCGAGCACGCTGGCATTGGAGCGAGAAGAACGAAGTCACGTGCGGTGCGTGTTCCATGTTGAACCGTAAACAAAGTGGCGAGAAGGGGCGACACAGGGGGGGGAGGGAGGCTAAAGCAGCACAGATGGACTTAAGTCTTTTTACCCAGCTTCGCCTCTGCTGTTATGTGCGAAACCCCCTCCTTACCCCCCCCCCACCAGCTGCCATTCCTCAGTGTGAAATGGAACTAGTACCATCAGTTTAATCAATGCAGTAACTGATCAAAGTATGGACAGGAGGTGGCATGCTGAACGCTAGAGAAGACAGCTACAGTTTCTGTCATTTCAGCCCCAGCCATTGCATTCTGCTTTGTTTTTAAAGATTAGTGCTCACACAGAGATTTAAAGATTTCTGCCTCGAGTATTAGCCTGGAATGCAGACGGTATGACTGTACCTCCCAGACACTAGTTAAATCTCCAACCCCTGGTATGTGGCCTAGCAAGAGAGAACAAACATCACCTGATTATGTCTGTCTGGCCCACGTCGCCGTGATCCACCCCGGCCAAGTACGGCAACTAAAATGGCTGTCGGCGCGTAGACCTCCCCGACACCAGGAGGCGCTGCAGATCCCCAAACATGGCAGGAAGGTGATATAAACCCCTCGTCACTCAGACCACTGACTCAGCAGGAGGAGACCTGGCGTTAGCTGATGACATCACTGCTCCCGCTTAGGGCTAAGGGGGGGCTTGGTGGGAACGGGCACCAGCATGTAATGACAGCCACAGGAATGTAAACCTCCCACAGACTGACCCACACACACCACCCCAAACTGTCATTTCCTCATGCAGGTCCTCCAGGTGTGGAAGACACCAAAGGGTTTCAGAGGGTGTCATTTTCTCTCATCTTTGCCATCCGATCAGGGCTTGGCCAGCCCACAATCGCTCTGCTGGGACGCTAATCACATCCTCGGCACACCTGACCATACACCTGTTGACACCTTCTCTAAAGATCTCCCTCGCTTTTCCCAGCATTCGCTGATGCTTCCTGCGTAACGGGCAATGGACTAAATAGAGAGATGCTGTGGGATCACAACACCGTCCGCAGACCCTTTCAGCAGAGAGAGGACACATCGAGCTCAGACGTCCTTAAGAGCAGACGAGACTGAGGCTCCTGGGGTGATTTTTCACTTAGCTATCCACCGTCACAGATGAGTTCTACCCATGAACCACAGAATAAAACTCAACGCAGTCATGCTATCGGTGCACAACCTGCGAAAACAGTCAGGCTGAAACGGTAATGCTTACAGTATGACATCACCACATCGTTCAGGTGAACACATAACATGTGCAAATAACACCAGTGCCATGTGACTCACGGCACATAACAAAAAATTCCTGACAAATTCAACGGAGCCCCAGTTAAGGTTTAACATGCGGAGGGAAAGGAGATTACCCATATCTTTGCATGGAAGAACAGTAGCTGTTTGTTGCAGTTTGACACGTGATGACCAAATCATTCTTACTCTGGAAGATCAGATAAAACAAAGACAAGAGCCAACTCAGACCTTACAAATGCTTACTGAGAACCTGGTTTAACCCCAAGTTAACCAAGAGTGCAAGGTTCTAATGAGAAACAAGTTTGCAACTCCCCCCCCACTATGGGTGTTACAGCCACGCTTTTCCCATCCCTAAGCATAATACAACTTCACAGACCTTTTCCCGTGCGATTTCAATGAAGCCAACGCAAAACATCCGTGACTCAAGAACTGGCTCTCCTTGGCAGCCCTGAGTATCTATAAATCGACTGAAAACTTAAAAGGAAACATTTCTCCGTGTCGGCTCTTGGCGGCATTAAAAGCAGAATATGAAATGCTACCACATTCCAGAAATGCGCTGCAACCCACAGGCTGAAGACTTCATTAAGTAGCGAACAAGACATTAGGAAGGCTGCCATGCGACAAAAGGAGGTGACCACAATCCCCAAAGCCAGAAAACTATAGTGACAAAACAAATGATTTTACCAAACACTATGCCGTAACTCGTGTTGAAGCGTTCCAGTGTGGCCATTTCAGAAACCGAGAACTTAGATGTTTAGCTCCGAAAGAGCCCTGGAGTACACAAAGAGCCATCAAAAGGTCTAAAGATATTAGAAGAAAGTGAGTCCGTCCAGAAAAAGAGGCCACATTTTGTTTAGTATCATCATGCTGAAGTTAAAGGATTATTCATATATGCCAAAGTATCTAAAGCCAGAGTACGGAAGATGTCACCAAACTCGAGCCACATATTCAACAAGAAAGACCATCACATGATTCTCATTTCCAACAACCTCCACATGGCCTGTCTGCAGATACCGAGAGACAAAGGACACAACATCATTTTCTATTACCGTGGAATTTCCCTCCTTCACAGATGAGGAGCTTAAATGTTTAGCAACAACATCAGCACAGTGAGGAACCTATTAAAGACGAATGAAGGCCAAGTGTTTGCACCAAGACCGCTGCACGGCCCCCCTTCCTGTCAGAGGCCTTGCTTGCTTTGACTACATGCTGGGGGGGGGTCAGCTCACAGAGCAACTCTGGGGTGTTTGACGGTGCACGTTTCCAAGGGTGTGGGCAGCATGCGGCAAGGAGGTCAGTGCCAAAGCCAGGTTGCTAGGCTGCTGATAAGCAACCAGGAAGAAGAGATGGAGCTTGAGCAGCACAGACACACAGACCAGACACAGTCAATAAAAAAAAAATGCATACACAGAAATATTATGATTATTCTGCCAATGCATAAACTCGTGTGCCAAAAGGGTACTGGAAGGTGTCATTTGTTAAGCCATGGAATAATTTTACATTATATTTGTTAAGCAGACGCTTGTATCCAGAGCACTGTACTATTCAAAAAGCAGGGCCAGCCGTCCCTGGAGCAATTGGGGTTATGAGTCTTGCTCAAAGGCCCCAAAAGTGAAACTCTGCCAACCCTGGAATATGAACCAGCGTCCTTTCGATCACAGGCACAATGTTTGGGGGGGTGGGGGGCACAATCTGTATCCATGGGAATCTGAATAAAGGCCTCCTAATCACCCAGAATGCATCAGCCTATTTCTCTGCAGAAAGGGAACCATCAAATAAACAACCACATACTGATATGTCCGCAGCACTGAGCCAGCCCAGCACCAAACCTGCCTTATTTATGCCCCCCCCCCAAATGTAAAAACACCCCCTAAGAAGGCAGCCTATAGGGGGGGCTGAGGGCCCTTATATGGGGTTGGTTTCAAACCAGACTAGCCGTTTCATAACATCTGACATCAAGCCAAAGAGTCGCCCTGCATCTGTCTCCGAGTTCACACACGTGCCGTCCGGAGGGACCATTCGCCATCACAACGCCAACATGCCAAGTAGGCCAGGGGTCTTTCTTCGAAACAATACCCCTCCCCCCACCCAAACACAGAGTGCACAATTCCCAATTTCGCACAGCTTTTTTCACAGATTTAATCTTGTCTCCGCATTATATTAACTACCAATACCTGTGCAACAAAGGAGGAAAAAAAAACTGCCTGTAACCCCCCCCTCCCCTCCCCTCCATACACGTATACTTTCATCAGGCTGGGTGTTTCCAGCCTCACTGAACTCAGCTGCCAGGTCGTCGAGAGGCCACTCATTGTCTGGTAACTTTTTACCTTATATCACAAAATACCTATATATTCACAAAAGATGCATCTTCCTATTCCTCCGGCTCCCCACCGAGGAGACTTTGCGGAATGCTGTTTAATTTTCTGAATGATGCACTGTGACACCACCGAGGTTATTAAAACAAAACACAAACTACTATTATGTGTGTAGCACCCACCTGGGAGTAAGTGTCAATCTCTCTGACAAAAGACAAACTGAGGAGAGCAAACAGGCTGCCAATTCATTCCTCAATAAATAAAACCACGTTTTTACTGCAAGATAGCAGCTCAGGTGTGGAAAACATGGCCGACTTATATTTAAGTCGGAAAAACTGATATCGTTCAGCGGCGGTGTCCAACTCCAGCCCAGCCCAGGACATTTTTGGGTTTCCCCTCATTTAACACACCTGACTTAACTTCTCTGACATTCACCATCCATTTCTTGAGTTGTATCTGGTGTGGTGGAGCAGGGAGAGAACTAAGCTGTCCAGGACTTGAGCTGGAGACCCCTGTAGTACGGCATCATGCCAAAAATTGGGGACACACCAGACAAAATTCTGTTTACATGAGGGCAGTTTTAAGGTACTAGTTCTGCGCTGTTTTCTACGTCGTCCATCTGTCACTATCCTGGGCGCAGGGGCTGCTGTTGGCCTCCCGTCTGGACGTCCTGCGTCCCACGTACAATTGGAAAGTCATCACGCCGCATACCTACACCCTCAGCCTCTGCTAAAGATAGCACCAGCGCCCCCCTCCCCCGGCTTTTCAGCGTAATCCGCAAAACACAGAGAAATGCCAGCCGCCGTCCATAAACTTTGTCCCGGAACTTTTTTTTTTTTTTTTTTTTTTGCGTTTTTTTTTTTCCTGCAGCAAAATCATAACGGTGTCAGAAAAACAGAGGGATTTCAGTAAAGGAAACGGGGCCCATAAAGCGGTGACACTTTCTCATCTCTGTCTCTTGACTGATAATCAGTCATACGGTGGGGGGGGGCGAGGCCGGCCGGCCGGCTAAGCAGACCCTACTCATACCATCGCGAAACCGGCTGGGGTGGGGAGACCGGCGGCCAGCCCGTCTGGATCACACCTCCCCCCACATCATAACAGCGGAAAGTTTTAAACTCTAAACCGGCTTAAAGAAACTCATGAGTCTTTACTCAATACTATGGAAACTTAAGTCTGGCTTATATGTAATTACATTATACAAAAACTACACACAAAAAGAAATTAGGTACTTTAAAAAAAATCAACTAAAACCACTCACCGCTTTTTGGGTTGAATTTCCTTCCTCTCAGTGCGGTTTAACAGTCCTCATTGTTGCTAAGGGAATAACTCGCCGAAATGTCCTTACGGTATAATAAAAGTTTGCCCCGCTGCTCCCCCGATCGAGCCCAACACCAGCCCGTCTCTTTTTGGGCCGGACAAATCCCTTGGACCACAGCTATCGGTCTGGGGGGGTGGAAAAAAGTTTCATGGGGGCGCTGGCTGTGTCGTTTTTTTAAAAAAAAAAAAAAAAGAAAGAAAAAAAAGGTAAAATAAGGAATTAGAAACTAAAACCTGATCTGGCAGAAAACTTTGAAGCGGATACTTTTGTTAACGCGCACAATTTAAAACAACATCAGAACCGGAACCGATGAAAAGTTGACCGACGGCCCAGAAAATGATTCGGGCCGGGCGGAGGAGAACCCAAACTTCAATCCCCTCTCCGGACAGCCAGCGCAGGTGACCTTTACTCCTCCGCAAGACTGGGGGGAAAGTACGTTCCGGCAGCCGACGGCGATGTCTCGCTGTTAATTATTTTTTTAAAAAAGGGAGAAAAAGTAAATAAAGAAAAATAAAAGAAGAGTTAGCAGCAGCGGCGGCCGCGGTCTCTGCGTGCGGCCCGTCGCTCTCCCTCGCGCCCCCCCTATGAGGTCCCAGCGGCTCGAGCCGGTCGCCATCTCCCGCCTGACGTCACGGCAGCCGGCCCAGCCGGGAGGATTTTAAAGGGCCAATGTCGCTTCCTTTGGGAAAAACTACAGGGACAATTGGGGGGGGATCGATCCTATCTCCTTGCCCCCAGTCAAAACACACACAACACACAGAAAAAATAGTACAGTATCACAACTCTGATTTTATAACGGTTATAAGATTTTTGCCAAATGATGGTGTAGAACAGGTCAGCACAAGTCTTGTTCAGTACTGAATGTGTTAGAATTAAAGGTCCCAGTTTAAAGCTGTGCAGGTGCAATTCCAGCCTGCATTTCTGAGCAATACCATGGTATTTCTGGCGGAATTATATTGGATCACTAAAGTATAAGTTTAACAATGCATTATAGAACACTAAAATGATAACCGAGATCTACATCATAACCTGTTTTAGGACTTCATACTGGATATTTTGACAGAATGGTGAGGAGTTCTACAAGGCTATGTCACCTATAATCATCTAGGACTATACTGCGCTTGTTCTTTTTGTAGGAGTAGATTTACAGTGGACATTGGGATAGGCTCAGTGTGTTAGACTGTACTGCATTACATTTACTTATAAAATTTAGAACGAAATGCAAGGTTCTGACCATATGTCTTCCACTGTCACCATCAATGGAACAAAAGCACAACGTCCCTGGTACTAATTGCAATTACTGTAAAATTTAACTACTCCAATATTTACATACTTCCACCTTGTATAGGCCTATACGTATGCATCCAGAGGCACGTAATATTTTATTTGTTTATATCAATACTTGTATTTTTATTTTGTTATGTGTGTGTAGCTTAATAAGCAGAGCAAACGTATGCGTCGAATCTGTTTGAATACTGTCTTTTATTATACTGTATGTACTATTCAGGGGACACAGTAAACTGGAGGGCAGAGCATGCAGATGAAGCAGGGCGCTTCCTGATACTGCCCTTAGTTCGCCTTTTCTCCCAGGCAGGATAACAGTTTATGTCCCAGAAATACAGGACTCCCCCACCCAGACACACACCAACCCCGAAACCTGGACCGCGTATTTACTTTCATGGACAAACATTACCGGCTGCTGTCAGTTTCGTATTGGACTCGTTCTCAGAAAACAGCTCCTCGTATATTATGTTTGGCAGACAGCGCATTGATTTGAGATACTGTTACTTAGCATTGGTTTTCTGGTTCGTTATGACACGACATTAAATCAGTGTTTTGTTTTTTTCTCGTTGTTTGGCACCAAAATATCAAGACTACTGTAACGCCTTTGTTTTTGACAGGTAGTATTAACTTGTCATTGAGCTAAATTTAAGTTAAGTCCTTTTAATCACTCCGTTGAAATGAGTAACGCGTATACATCGAAATAATTTCATAATTATATTTAGGTGTATTTAACAGTAGTGTACTAAAATATCGTTGAATAAAGATCGGCCCGGGAACAATTGTCAATCGTCGTAGCGATATTATAGCTTCACAGCTACCATTTTAATATTTTTTGTGTATTAATTTGAACAGACGTTCGTGTAAATGTATAATGTACGCGTATCGTTTTCCCTGGTTCAATATTTTGGTGTAATAACTCGAAAAACATGGTTAACGTAGTAAATATATAAGTGAATACACAGTTGTCATTGTTTTTGTAGCAAGCTAGCTAAGACTAGCCGTCTGTACAGAAAACAACACTAACGGTGTGAATGTTGGAACCAGCCAGGGAAATCAATTAGATTGAAAAAATAATTAGATTGTAACTTTCTTAATTAGCTTCTTTATTGGTTGTAAGTATAAATAATTTTAAAGGAAGCAGAGCGTTTTCTGAACACTGACGGCTAATCGCGTCTACTAATCGGGCCTTCGCCACGGACACGTACGGAAGACATATTGATGTATTCAAGTCATTTATCTATCATTTATCTATCCTTTATCTCTCCATCTCATAACTGCTTATCCTGACCAGAGGTGAATCGTTCAGGTCTGGAAAGTAAAAATCCAGACTAGGTTTTTGTTTCAACCAACCAGTTGAGCACGCCAGTTGAGTACTCTGTGACTGTGACTCTTTGTGCTCAACTGGTTGGTTCAAACAAAATCATGGTCTGGATTTTTACTATATGGCCATGGACTGTCCACCTCTGACCCTGACCAGGGCCTGGAGCTTGTCTCAGGCAGCCCAGTACAAAAGGTTGGGGTCCACCCCATGGGTAGGATGCCAGTCCATCATAGGGCAGTGCGTCACACACACATACGGTCACACACTTTAGAGACCCATTCCATCTACACCCTTACAACATGTGCCCAGCCTTTGAGAGCCATCTGCAGTGATTTTCTGTATTTCACAGTGGTAACACTGGAGCTAAATTCAAAATTGTTCCTGGTTTAATCATCTCCAGGACTGATTTACAATAATGCTGTAATGAATTTATAAAAGACAGTTTACCAAGAACCCCGAGAGATTTATGTACTTACATTATTTAATTCCCTTATTTATAATTCCCCCCCTGTACTCAGGGACCTTGTATCTTATCGTTTCAGGACTGGCAAGCACAACTAAAACGCTATTAACCCGAGTCTCTTGGCCAAACTGAGAATGTTACCTCTTATAACCCCAGGAGCACAGATGACTAACGATGATACCGACAATGACCAATTTCTTTCATTTGCAAAGTGAGTAACATAATATATTTTACCTTAAGCTGCTGTTAGCAAAACATGCACAGAGGCACTGGGACATATATACAGTTGACTAGTCTTGACATTATTGATCCCTTTGGGGGGGGGGGGATTCCTTCAATCCAGTGGCAGGCATATAGATATAAAGAGAATGACAAAAATACAGTCACAGTAAGGAAAAGGGTATAATAATGTATTTAAAAATATAAATAACTACTAAAAACATATCAACAGCTCAAGCAGGCATATACAATCACATATTATATTGTGCTGTTATTTGTAATGAGCAACGGCAGTGTCACGGGACAGAGTAGATCATGATACAGAGTAGACGTTATATTATGCATCTATATTACACCATGAAACATTATGAAAATGATGTGGATCAAATACATTAGGCATATATATGTAGATATAGCAGACGTACAACTGAATTTGTGCAGAGTGCATAAAGTGCAAGCAACATATTAGTGATACCACAAAAATGTTTGAGATTACTGACTGTTGGGCCTTGGATTTGAGATGTTAAACAGGTGTATTATACTAATATTCTGTATATCCTGAATGATTTCTTTAGAAATATCCAGCTTTATAAATTGATATATAACAGTTAAAAAAGCAAAGCTATTGTATTGCTACAGGCAAAAAGGCTAATAATGTTAGCAGCTAGTTATCAGATGACAGTGCAACCTTTCTATAAAAAAATGAAGGTGATCTTTTTGCTGGCCTTCTTGGGTTTCCCTTCAGGAGGTCCCGTACAGTGTGGAGGAGCTATGAGATGGAGACGTCCTTCATGCCGGCTCCATACTGGAGGCGCTATCCCCCAGTTCATGATCCGTCGGGCATGAGGTTTTTTTTGTTCTTCTCAGTGACAAGCTAATCTGAACTCACTGCCAGCACATCCTACACCCAAAGACGAACTGAGAGACATGGGTGGCCATTTGAAGCTGTGGTGACATTTGTGGAATGTTCTCTCACCCAGCGGTCGCCCTGTAGCACCTGTGCGATCGCAGTAACTAACGTATAATTCCACCGTCACACCCAGGCGGACACATTCGGACACGGGCTAAAATCACCACTTAGTTAAATATGAGTTTGCATAACAAACCATCGCAATCGCAGTGTGAGATTTTCTTAACGCCAACACTGACTTACAATAACCCGACACAAACTTGCATATTAATATGAGGCCTTCGGTGCTTTTGTTAAAAACAGTGGGGTTTCTGAAGCTGAGTTATGTGAATGAGAGCCCTTTTATAACCAATCTGATGCCGTAATTGTAAAAAAAAATGGCACGCTGAATTCTCAAAATGAATTATTCCAAAACGGCACTGCAATTAAAGCAATTCAGATAAACCACCGCTAAAAAAACTCATATAAGAGTGGTTCTATCGATGTCAGTAAAATTAAAAATCTCTAAGTATTGTTGTGGGAATGTTATTTCCCTTTTTTCCCCCAGAGTTCCTTTGCTGTTGCCATTGGTTACTGAAGGCTGCTTTTGCTGTTGCTGGGATAGCAAAATCTAGCTAACAAATACACTTTCCTTTTTTACTGTTTGCGTGTCTGTCATTGCACGCATGCAATCACATGTACGCATAACCTCTGCCCTCATCATTCCACAGCCGGCGGCCTGGCGTACAGCAGTTCCCTCATAATTTTCTCGTGACAGAGAACTACATGGATACGTCTGCAGGAATGGTAGGTGCCGCGCTGGGCGGCAGACACAGGGACCTATAGCGTTATGCTAAAAGCCACCGGCATGTAGATAGCAGGCGATAATCCTTGTCTCAAAAGACGACTTTGAAGTTCTGGCCGCGGGGAATGTCGTGTACTTTTCACATTGCTCATCACAGCATCTAAAGTACATGTGCATAGAACAGAGCAGTACTGGAAATAGGAGATTGACACTTTTATATTTTCAGTGCTTGTTCTTGCCTGAGGTCCTTATAAGCGCTGATGCATTACAGAACAGACCAGAACGAACACTTACCCACAATTATCCAGCTTGCGTTCTTCCTGCAATGATACTGCATATGAGTGTCAGAGACTTAAAGATGAATCTAATAGTAGCTGTGCAACATTTAATTCTTTCGGTATTTCACACCTAATATACTTTGCATGAGGCGTTTGTCGTTTTATTCTTTGTTTTTTTTTCTTTTTTGAAGTCATACTCGGACACCTATACAAAACCGGTAGGATTAGGGAACCGCAAGCTCCGCACTCATTTAACAGAGAAAGGATCAATGTAATAATATCAGTTTCCCTGAAAGTTATAGCTTGGTTGTCCAATGGAAGCCTTCACTTACACACCTGGGTAGAGAGATTCTCATTAAAATCCATTAAGGTCCAGGAATAAAATATTTATTTCGAATTTTATTGGGGACTCTTGAGCATCACAGGAGTCCTTTATGTAACTTATAATCTCGTACTTTGTTTATGGCTTTTATTTATAGTCGTAGTCTATATAGTCGTAGTCATTTTGTATAGCTGGTGCCTGCGTCTACTCCACAGGAGTAACATGAGAGGTGCCCCCTCCAATGGGCACGCAGCAGCATTATGCTGTCTTTTGTCACGCAGGCAGGGTGCGCTGTGTCCCCAAAGCCCCTCCCGGGACAGAGGCTGTCTCAGGCTCCGGAAAAACTGCCCACACCCAGGGAACTGATGGGCCAGCGGAGGAGGAGAGGGATGGGGGAAAGGGTGGGGGGGTTGGCGGAAGACGACGTCGCACGGCACAAGGCCGCAGCAGTGCTGCAGCACATCAGGGACTTGAAGAAGCGGCAGAGCGCCATCGACAAGTAAGCTGGGGAGGATGAGGGCGCCCCCTTTAGGAGGGGCAGAGTATGACAAGCCACAGGTACCTAAAAGGCAGCAGTGATGATGCAGTTACCAAGGAACACTGCCAAGGCACCATGGCACACAGAGCAGCAGAAAACAAACTTAGTCGATTCATTTATATTAAAAACATTTCAGTAGCACAGGGAATCTGCCTGCTAACTAACTAGCTGGTGTCCATTTCACAAGAAAAGCAGTAAATGATAAAACTGATGTAAATAACTGTCACAGAATATAAGCAGAGGTATTTCTTATGTTTTTTTAATCATTCTTTTGCGCCCCCCCCTAATCAAATGGTGCCCTAGGCGATCGCCTATAGGGCGGGCCGGTCCTGCATGGCGCTGTATGTTCAGCATTGATATTGTGTTGCATCTCTCTGACTAAGCATAAAAACACTAAAACGATTTTAATAGAGCGGCATTAATCCTCTGAATAATATCAGATGTTAGATTCAGGTCAGTACATGTGCTGGTATGTGTCAGTGACAACATTCACTTCATCACATGGGCAGTTAGGGTGAATCGTTTCATACATGGGCGGATGACTTTTCACCCATAATTGTCCTGTCAGAAAAACAATCAGCACTGGGGATGAGTCGCCTCTTACATATGGCATGGTGTCACCTTTTTATCCCGCCGTTTCACATGTTTGTAATCCGTCAGCCGAAACCGGTGAGTGCTTCTCCTACAGGCTGAAGACGGAGAGGTGGTGGAGCTCAACAAACTGGCAGGACAGCGAGGAGGACTCGTGGGGGCCGGTCGAGGGTTGTCCGCTGCCCCCGATGGCCAAATCAGCACTGCAGGCTGGGGGCACAGCTCCGCCCCCATCCGATTCCCATGGGTCATGTGATCAAGAGGTGGGCACTGACTCACCAAACACGTGGCATGATCCACTGACATGACGCACTGACAGCGCACACATCTATATAGATTAGAACTTTTTTCATGTTTCTGAATATTGTTAGTGTCGTTTGATAAATGCATTACTATTGTTATTGACCGTCCTTTGAGGCTGTCCTACTGCTCTCTAGGAACCCTTAGAGTCCCTCTGTGATACCTCTGCAGGTGACGTTTGGCACACGGTTAGAGAAGCTGAATCTTCCTCCAGGAGAAAACCCGATGATGTCATTCGTCTTGACAACTGCAGATAGACAGGACCACCACAGTCACAATATCCCATTCTGGCGTCGGTTTGGAGGAACTTGGTACAACACAGAGCAATAACTCTTTTTAATACAATATTATAAAACATAATTAATACATTGGCATATATAACACAGTTGTCGAATTTAAAAAACAGATTTGTTTCATAGGCGAAGCTACCTGCCGTATGCTTTCTGTAAAGTGATTTTTTTTTTCTTAAATTTTGTGCTATGGAAAAACGTCCTGTGACACCTATCTTACCATTATAAACGGCAATATATACCTACCTACCACAACAAAACTGACAAATATTTGATTAAAGGCTCATTAAACATGTTCAGCGCACTTAAGCTGCATGACCTTAATTACAGCTACGGTTCTGATGTGGACACAAAAGCATTGCGGTTTTCAAATGAAAACTGACCATGCAGCATTGTTTTCGTACCGTCAGGATCTCGAATGAAAGAAGATATTGGTTCGCGTTCATCTCCTTTTACGGAAATTTCGAATCAAAAAAAAGTTTGATAGAGTATTTCCTTGTATTTCCTCTGACACGCCTGACACCTACTGGCAGGACGAGGTAACAGATTAAAACTAATTATTTATTGTCGGCGGGGAATGTCTCTGCTGCCGGTGTTTGGTTTGGTGACACCTGGAAGCCTCAGCTGTCAGACACACATTAACGTATATTCCACCTGTGGCATAGTGTTAATTTATTAATTAAGGTCCTGGCCCTTTTTTTAACGCCGCAGCGTCACTGTGTCAAAGTTGTATTTAAACTGTGTTGCTTTTAGCGATAAACTGACGCGATGTCTGTTCGCATTTTTCTGCTGCAAAAGGGATTCACTTGTTGTGTAACACCCAGGTTCGCATTACATGAACATATTCAGATTAAACTATTTGGTTTTATTGGTTTGTTCTAATTGCATAACATGTTAGTCCATGTTTCTTTAATTTTAACCCGTTGTTCTGATGCATTTCAAGGGAAAATTGGCTTAAATTTAGCAAAAGATAAGCTATTTTGCATTTATCCAGCAGAGGAAACTGGTCGTGGAAAGAAAAGCGTATAAATCTTTTAATAATGAATAAAGACGATTCCGGATTAAGGCCTGAAACTTTTCTTGTGCGTTTGTATTTGCGTTAATGTATGCATCCAGACACATATATTAAAGTTATTTTTTTAATCATATAGGCCTGTCCGTCTGTTAGAAATGTCTGAACAAAGTGCAATTTGCGAACATGTGAATGCATATTCCAAGATGAAAGCTTTAATTTCAATTTTCTGTCAAAAAGAAATTCAATGCATTATTATTGCTGTTGTTGTTTTTAATAATAATAAAAAATGTCGGAAGGGTTAGGAGTGTGTCTACTGACATGCAGTGACCCCAGCCTAGAGCAGTGAGGAACCGGTGGTCTTGCCCCTACGCCCCCCCAACCCCGTCGCTTTCACCGCACTCGTCTCTCTCTCTCTCTCTCTCTCTCTCTCGCTGTCACTTTGCGCGATGACGTCAGTCTCCGAAAGAAGATGGCGGCGCTTAAGAAGAGGGCGGAAGGTGAGGGCAGATTCGCTGGCTATTTCTTACTGTCTTGCGATGTTTCCTTTTTAAAAAAAAAATTATTAACCGACCGCCGCGTCCATCCTCTCCGAGAGACCCGCTCGCTCTCTGTCGCTCCTTCGCAGACCCCCGTCGCCGTTCTTGCTCTGCGCTGGGGGGGGGGGGACACATTTGACTGGTTAGCGCTGTCGACTTCACCAGCGTTAGCCAGCCGAGCACTGAGTCCGTATGACTGAAATCTGCACGCCAGTGAGCCCGGGCTGTGCATCGCCTTCAGTGGGGGGTGTGTTCGCATACCCCCGGCGACACACCTAGCCGCGCCCGCGGCGCTGTCTGCACGTCCGACCGGTTCCCTGTGCACACTAAGCCGCGATGGGCTCCCGCCTGTCCGTGTCTAGCTTTGCTAAAATGGTTTCTGTCGGTTCCCTGCGAATGGGTAGATGGACCCCCGCTTTGGGGGGGGGGGGGCGGACACTTGGGCCGGGATCGCGGGCGTAATTTAAGGTTAGCAGTGGGGGGCACGTAGGTTTAACACACTCAGCTGTCTAGCTGGTTACATTTTCACTTTTCACGCCCCCCCCCCCGCCCCCATGATGTCAAATCTCATGGCAACAGCTGGATGTTTACGTGCAAAACACTGGCAAGTTGCTCCGAGGTGCAAGCAGTGCCCACCCGGCTTAGGTGAAGCTGACGGGGAGGGGGCGCGATCTCGCGGCTCCGGGGGCAGATTGTCGCGTGCCGCAGCACCCGTATAGTCTCCCATGAGCCGCGGTTTGTTTTCGGTCGCCACCATGCCCCTATTTCCTCTCCTTTGCCCTGCTACGATGAAAGAGGTGCAGAAGTGCACAGTAGGGACATCTCCCCCCTCCAACATGCGTGTGCGCTCCGTGGCCCGGACGGACGGTTTCATTAGCCCGGAGTGTCTCTGTGTGCATTTTCGGTGTGATCGTCTCTCCCGCTGAATTGAGCTGATTCGCCGGGGCCTCCGGATACCGTTTCAGCCCTGTCACACGAACCGCGCCGAACCTTCTGTACCCCTTGCCCACCATCGATTATTCATTGAAACACATCGGGAGAAGTCCGTATCGAAAGTACATGCCAAGGCGCATCTCCCCCCATCCCTACAAGCTATAAGTCATTCAGGAGAGAGGTGATTCTGTGTCTGTTGCGTTATCAGTGAGATCATGCCTGCGGATGCAATGGGGGATGAATCACAGAAATACAGGCTGAGTAGATCCCAGATCGCAGGGATCCACCTGCGTCTGGCCCGTGGACACGATGCTGGTGACCGTCAGTGGCATTTGGCATTTGGGTGAATGATCTCTGTCCCCTGTATTCCGATGACCGTACTTCGTTATTAAATGTTGTATGGGTTTACGGTCGAGTTCCCGCCGGAAGGGTTTACTGTGAAAGGCTTAACGTGAGACTGGGGTTAGGTAACCAGGAGCGATTAGAGAATGCAGAAGTGGAAGTCAAAGCTGCAATCGCTTGTCAAAGTGCAACTGTGATAAGAAGATGCAGGCCGATGGGCAAAGGTCTGTTAATGAGTCACTCTGCACCGGCAGGTTATCGGGTCCTGTCCCTGGTGGGTGTGACCAGATCAAGGACTGTTTATAACTAGGTTATGTAATAACAGATTGACACGTTTGAGTGCATGTTGGGGTGTGCTTGTGTCAGCACTGCCGCTTATTAAAACTCTCCCCTCCAGATCCACTGCTCTTCATTCTCCACATGTACGCAGCCATTTGTTCTTAAACCTGGGACGGAACACACCTCGCGCTCAGCACACCGCTGACCACTTATACTGTCCGAGACCTGTCTCTCCTGTACCGTTGTGTAAACACCGGGGAAAAACAGAGACTTATTATGGAAAAAGGCAGGAGCCCATCTGGGCTGGATGAGTGCCGTGAGTTGAGTGATGTGAATGCTGGTGGTGCGTAAGTTGGGCCCCGAACCCATCCCATCCCGGGAGAAGCAAAGTTCTAAAGCAGTTCAGCGTTGCCCCCGGTGTGGGTTCTGTACCTGCAGTGTGTCCGGTTACACTCCGGTAACCCTATTCCTAGAGAACCCGGGCCTCCTGTGCGCGTCCCACGCCTCCCTCGGGGCCCGGGGCCCTAGCGTCTCTCGAGGGCTCGACTCATGATTGATTTAACGCACTAATGACAGTCAAATTACGCCTGCTCCACTTTTTTAAAGATGGTCGCCGTGGCGGGCGCTCTCTCCCGGCGCTGAGGTAATTACACTTTGGATTAGGGACGTCTCGTATCCGGGACTCCCGCGATGGCCTCCATGTCGCTGTTCGGCATAAACCGAATTAAGGACCGTTTTTGATCCACACGTAAAACATTGAGGCCTGGAATGTATAATTAAGTGAAATTACACGCTGATTTTCCGTTAGCTAGTTATTAAAAGACATGGGAAGTGTAACCGGCTATTTTCAGTCTTCCAAGACGAGTGTCCCAGCCGGAATTTCGCGTGTGTTGGTTCTGGAGAAGGCCGGGCCTTCTCCGCCATGCCGACGTCCATCTTGATTCCTCCTGTGCTGTCGCTCGGTGAGCTGATGTGATTTTTGGCGAGTCAGGATCGCCGTAACAGGCTGCCAGATGAACCCTTAATGGTTTAGTCGTTATTTTGGCCAGCCAGGTCCCACGCCAGCATCCGCATGGAGGTAGGTTATCCAAATTGACAGGAGAACGTTTCCACGTTGTTCCGCGCCACTTGGAACCCTGGCGCAATTGATGTGTTGCGGTCTCATGGTTACGTCTCTCCCTGCTGGTCGCCGATCCGCCGTGGAGCCCCCCCCCCGCCCCCCCATCCCTGCATTGTTATTCTGCGTGGGTATGAGCAACCACCCCCCACCCCCCCCCCATCTCCATCTCATCCTCGCTCACTCCTGGTCGCGGGCGAGCTCCATGGAAGATTGCGCCTGATAATGTGGTATCTAGGCAACAGGAAGAGGAGACGAGGAGGAGGAGATTCACTTGGAAGAGGGGCGAGGAGGGATATCGACACTAGGGGGATGTGAGACAACCGAACAAGAAGTGAGTCCTTGCAAACAAGCAAGCAAACAAGGAAATAAACACGTTTTGAACATGGGGGCAGTTTGTCTCGCCCCCCATCCAGGTGAAGACCAAGGGTGATTTCTCGATGGCATAAGAGGGGCCAAAATTCATACAGGAGGGGTCAGCCTTATCATTAGCCAATGATACGCTTGGAATCGATGAGTGACAGGAGGGCGGCATTCCAGGGACCAATCAGCTTTTAGCAGGGGCCGGCGCCCCTGTGAAGCCCCGTCGGAAGTAGCCCCGGCTGCCGGCTTGGATGTCTCCGTGCCCACAGGACTGCGGGCGAGTTTCGGTCAGCTTGGCCTCACCGTGAACGACCGTGACGCTCGGCGCCTTAAGGTTTCATGTTTCACGTTACATAAAGTGCGTGTCTGTGGGGGGGGGGGGGGGGGGGGGGGGGGGGGGGGGGGGGGGGGTGGGGGGGGTGGGAGACGTCCTTACAAAGTTGAGTGTATTTCAAAGACCCCCTTTCTCGCGATTCGCACGCAGACCCGTCTGTCCGAATGGGGTTGTTTGTGCCGGGAATGTGTTCTCACACGCGGTCCCTGTCGCCCCGGTCGGTTCTGCAAACAACTGCGGGTTATGTAAGGTGCGGGTCCGCTGTCGGTACCGATCCACGTGGTCCGCACGGCCTCTCGAGCCTCCCACGGGAACCATATACATCTCTGCTTACAGCGTGGGCGATTTGGGGGGGGGTTCTGCCACGGACATTTCTGTTTTGTAAGAGATGTGTTTCTCTCTTGTAAGAGCCCAGAACCTTCACACAGACCCTCAAGCACGTGTAATGTACCGCTGGACATGCAGGTGTTTGGCATGATTCACACTCCCCCCTTCTTCCTCTGTGGCAGTGACAGCGGCAGTGTGCCGGCGGCGCCGGACCGCGTGAGTGCCCCCTGCTGGTTGGAGGAGCCCTTTGTCGCTGGGGTCGCTTCACCATGAACAACAAGGAGAGCACTACTGAGTCTGGTGAGGCTGGGGGAGGTGGGCAGTCTGGGAGAAGGTACTGGTTTTCGGTGGTGGGGGGGGGGGGGTCACTTTCGAGCGCCGGGCTCCAGGTGAAGTTGGAGCTGAGCAAACGCCTCCACGCTGAGTGAGAGAGCTCACTCACAGCTCCGCACTACCACCGTCAATCCTTCTCTTTCCATCTCTCCTTCCATCTCTTTCTCTCTCTTCCTCTCTTGTCATCTCTCTCCCTCTCTCCTCCTATCCTTTCCTCCTGTCCCCACTTTGTATCTTTGTCACTCTACTGTCTCCATCTCCTGCTCTCCTATCCCCTCTTTCTATATTGTTCTCTTACTTTTTCAATCTCCCCCTTTCCTGTCCTTCCTTTCCTACTCTGCTGCCTGCTCTCCACCCACCTCTCTCTCTGTCTCTCTCCCTCCTATCATCTCTTTTTCTCTCCTCCTGTTCTGTCTTTCTCTCCCCCTCCTATCCTCTCTCACTCTCTCCTTCTGTTCTTTCTCTCTCCTCCTCTTCTCTCTTTTTCTCCCCCTCCTTTCTTCTTTCTCAGTCTCTCTAATCTATTCTTTCTCTCTCCACCTCTTATCCTCTCCTTCACTCTATCCTTCTACCCTCTCTTCTTCTCATCCTATCCTCTCCCTCTCTCTGTCCCTCTCTCTCTCTCTCCTTCCCTCCCTTCCTCCCCCCTATCCTGTCATCTCTCACACTGTTCCCCCCCCCCACAGATAATAGCAAGCAGATGAAGGTGTTTCTGCCCAACAAGTTGCTGGAGTGTTTGCCTCGCACCTCCAGCCTGCCCAAGGAGCGACTACGCTGGAACACCAATGAGGTCAGCAGGCTGGGGGGGGGTATTGCTGTGGGGTCGCTGTCGGTGGTGAGCACAGATGTCCGCCGGTCGGATAGAGTCTGAGTCAGCAGATTGTTCAGACCCGTGGAACCCGGGAGAGGCAGAGCGCCCCCAACATGTCATCGTCTGACATTGCAGGGCTTGAGTCACACACCAGTTCACACTGTACTGGTGGATATCAGATGAAAGTGTATATGTGGATAGATCAACAGATCATTTTATTAGGCAGATGTCATTGGAATTCTCTTTAATTAACTATCAAGACTAATTATGCAGCTGGTATCTCGTCCAGTATGTAACCCAGCCTTGTGCTGTGTGCTGCTTTGGACGAGCTCCGGATCTCGCTGTGATCCTGACCAGGATAGCTGCTTAGAAGATGAACACCTGGGGTCATAAATCCGATGGGCAGACGTTACAAATTCCATGCATCTCCTTCGTTGGTGCGCTACTGTAGTTTAAAAAAAGAATGCAGGAATGCGACTGGCGCGGCGAGTCGTCACACATGCGTCTCTCTCCCGGCGCCTGGGCACCCCCCCGGTGCGGGAGTGCAGCTGCGAGGACTCGCGTTGCTGCGAATTCCCGCCTCGTGATGAGACAGCGAGCACAGAGGCGAGGAACAAGCGAGCTGATGAATAAAAAATGCAGCGTGCCTGCGAGCATCCTCAGCTGTCATGCCGATCGCAGTTAATGCGTCGTGATTGCGACGTTTCACTCTTTTTTTCTTTTTTTGAACCTGGTATTTTAATGCGACCTCTTCAGGTGTGTTTTACATGCCGACCGGGTGCTGATAGGATTAGGGGAACGGCACAGGAAAATGGTTCTGAATAGCTCAAATTTAGTATTTTGAAGCTGTTTATTTGTTGGCCACATGATTTTATTAGATTTTTTTTTTCCTCTTCATATCTTGTGGGCAACATTGAGTGTCTGAGTCACGGTGATATTCACTGCTGTTGGTCCCGAAACAGCAGAAATATTCATGTGCTCATTGGTGTTTAAAATCGCGCTGTAACACAGATTCAGCTAATGGGGCTCCTCCGATAATCAGCAAGTGCTGCATTTGTGTTTAATTGCGGTCTAATGTCAGGACTGCTTTGAGCTGCATTTGAGCTTGGGTGTGATCGGATGTCTGAGGTCGTGGTTTTAGACGCGATTCACATCTTGGAGGAGGTGGAGTGTTGGGGGACAAACAGGTGGGAGGAGCTTAGTGTAAAGGGGCGGGGCACAGGTGGGTGAAGGACCCAGCAGAGGCATTGAACCTGTGTATCATTGCAGGAGATCGCGTCCTACTTGATCTCGTTCGACAGACATGAAGAGTGGCTCTCCTGCACCCTGAAGACCAGGTATTGTCCCCCCCCCACACTGCCCCCATACCTTGGGGTCAGGACTACATGCCATGAGGCAGCTAACATTTATCTATGATTGATTTTAACCAGTAATGCTGCCCCCCCTCCCCCCCCGAGTGAGGTTTAAGAAAATAATCAATTAAATTTAATTCACTTATTAAATAGTTATTTGAAAACGATATTATTGAAATTAAAAAATGACAGAGAAATGCTGTTAACCGTCATACCTATGAAGACGACGATGTCACACTCATCAGCTCTGATATCCGCTGTTCCAATCCCCCCCTCCCCCCCCCCCAGGCCCCTCAATGGATCCATCATACTCTACAACAGGAAGAAAGTGAAGTACCGGAAAGATGGCTATTGTTGGAAAAAGAGGAAAGACGGTAAGACGACAAGAGAGGATCACATGAAGCTGAAAGTGCAGGGCATGGAGGTGAGCGCCCCCTAGATGTGTGGATGAGACATGGCAGCCTGTCTGTCTGGTGTATGATTACTGAACCCTGGAAAAAGACAGAATATCACTCTTATAAAGTACGACTGCACTCTCCGTTGTCCCTGCAGTGTCTGTATGGCTGCTATGTCCATTCCTCCATCGTCCCAACATTCCATAGGAGGTGCTACTGGCTGCTGCAGGTAAGGGTGTCCATCGCTCTGCTTTGGTCTGGGCGCTCTGTTTTGATCGGTGTGGAGTAACGCTGAGAGGGCACCCGGCCAACCCGCAGAACCCGGACATCGTGCTGGTGCACTACCTAAACGTGCCGTCCCTGGAGGACTGCGGGAAGGTGAGCCGGCCGCTCCTGTGCGCCGTGGCTGAGCGCCGCGACAGCCTGCGCTGGAGCCGCGAAGAGCTGCTGTCCCAGCTCAAGCCCATGTGTGAGTGCCTGTGTGTCACTGTGTCACTGTCCCTGTGTGTCACTGTGTCACTGTCCCTGTGTGTCACTGTCCCTGTGTGTCACTGTCCCTGTGTGTCACTGTCCCTGTGTGTCACTGTGTCACTGTCCCTGTGTGTCACTGTCCCTGTGTGTCACTGTGTCACTGTCCCTGTGTGTCACTGTCCCT